GAGCACTTAGTCCTTTATACTCATTCACCACTTAGTCCAGGCTCACTCCGCGCAGAGACCACGCGAAGCAGGCTCTGATACCAACTGTGACAGCCCCACCTCCCCCTAAGGCGAACCAAAGGGTTTGGCGGGCCGCCTGCCCAGCTCTCGCCGGGACTCAGTCGTTCACTCACACAAATCAGAAATAGAACCAGAAGAAAGAGCAAAACGAGGATCCAAAACTTAAAACAAAGCTTATATACATTGCTATCTCAGAAAGAAGTACAACCGTCGAGAATACAAAAGTTCTCAAGTCACCATACAACCAGCCCGTGCCAAGCACTAGGGCGAGAACCAAAACAAAACCAAAACTAGACCCAGCTAGTCGATATAGAGCTCTCGCCCTTGCTCGCCTTCCCCTGTTAAGGAAAACAAAACTAAAGGGATGAGCTAAAAGCTCAGTGAGGTTCCGAACATAGAATCAAGCCATAAATCAAACAATAAGTCAAGAAACATTTACAACATGTACAATAAACCATACATGAAAAGGATACGTTCGTTTGTTCATTCGTTCGTTCGTTCGTTCTCCTGTCATTCCCCTTTCCTTCACTCATTTGAAAATACATTTTTCGTTTATACATAAAACCCTCGTTCCTTCGTTCATTTCATTCACCCTCTCCTGGACATTGGCCAGGCTCCTCCAACCTCCACCAACCTACATGGTAATACTCGAGTATACCAAACGTTCACCCAGGTCACCATATCGCCCGACCGAGTCCGCTTCTGGCTCGAGTCGATCGGTAACAAGGGATAGTGGCCAGTTCAGCCAAAAGGCATACATTCATGCACAAGTAGCATTTCAATCGTTCAATCATTGAAAAGTTCACAATCATTTAGGCTGAGTGCGATAAAGTACACACTCGCCCAGAAAACTCATTTTGGCTAATCATTGAAAGCGTTTAACATGTTATCAGTCATATATACAAGCCATATAATCAAGAAACATAACAAATAAGGAACACTCACCGAATTATGCTAAATAACGTCCAAAATGTCCTATTTGATTTTACCCTCGATCACCGAGAAAACCTATGATTCAACGAGAAAGAATATTACAATTCATCTAGCAAAACAAGTAAGTGGAATCAAGTAACTCGACTAGTTACGAGTAAAACGGATAAAAGTGACTTTAAAGTGAAAAACAACCATGTGGATCTGTGGACGGAAATAACTATGGTGTCATAAACCAAACTCAAAGGGTTATAACAGTTCCAATGGAAAACACTTGAATTAAAGTCAAGTCGGAATCCAACTAGATAGGCTCAGAAATATTATTTTTCGGAATCGTGTATGTGGTTCAAAATCGATATACATTCAAGTAGGTATTATGGCCTACACGTCTTGACTGAGAAAACCTTAGGTCATACCTCGACATTTTGGTATGAAGTAGTAAATAAACATTTTAAGGTTCAAATGGAAAAGGTATCATGTTTTAAGATGGAAAACGGGCATAGTATTTGCCAAACGAAAAATAGACAAGTTGAAATAGAAACTTAGCCCTCGAGCGAAAATTTGGGCAGCACGCCCTTTGTATTTTCCTATTTCCAGTCGTTTATGGCTTCATTATTTTTCTCATCCAGTCCCAAAGTCATACACAAAATAAGTTCATTCAATAGCCGTTCAGTAAGCTCCAAGTAGTACAAGTACAATTCAAGCTAGGGAAAAGTCCGGAAATGAAAGTTAAGCTCTAACCATAAAAACAGTTTTTGACATCATTTTGCGGTTTTAGCACCATTGACACTACGATTATCGGATGGAGGTACAAGATACACCATTTCGAAGCTAAGAGATAGGGCTACAATGTTGAAGAAGGCCACTCAGTCCAGTTTGTAGTGAAACTAGGTCAAAATTGAAATATTAAAAACCAGAATCTCACAAACAGGTTGGCTAACCGCACAATTGTTAAACAGCAACAACTCAGGCTACCAAAGTCTGATTGAAGTGTATCTTGTGGTGTTTCGAAGCTAAAACACAACCCTACATTTCGTATAAAGACCTCCAAGGCCAAATCATGCATTTTCATGATCAAAAATGGAAAACTACACGAAAACAGAATTCTGGGCGCGAAACAGGTTTCATGGACAGTCAAGGGTATTTCAGTCATTTCACATGCTACAGTGGTCGGATCGAGCTGAAATTTTGCAGTCAACTAGTTTATACTATTGGCTACAACTTTCATGTTTTGTCCAAAAATCTAATTCGGTAAGGATCATGGTGAAAAGTCACGGTCAGATTGGGTGAAATGACAACCCTGTTCGCTGAACTACTACCTAGACCAGTCTGGGTATTTCCATCTTATCTCAGGCTACCGAGCTTGGATTAGGTTGAAAACATCATTCTCTACAACTTTCATGTTTTGTGCTAAGGCCAATTCGGCCTCTAACCTGGTCGAACAGAAACGGGCAGAACAGGGGTTAGTGAAACCCTAATCTGGAATTCATGCATTCAAGTGCTAATCTTCCACAAAACAACATCTAAAACCACTAAGCAACCTCTAATTATCTCTTAACATCTAGCAAATTAATCCCAGTACACAAAACTTAACCTAATTGGCCCAATTTTACCGAACTTACTGCACTAGCAGGTCCCACGCCCGGTATACGCTCGAAAAAATCTCATGAACTAAATTATACTAGACAAATAATTTAAAAACCCTATTTGGTCATAAAAATTATCTTGAAAATTTTCCAAATAAAGAAAAGGCATAAGAAGCGTGCAAATAAATAAAATAAAGCCTAGAAAATAAGAACTTTGACGGGTTCTCACACTCTCACCCCCTTAAGAAATTTTGCCCTCGAAATTTTTACCTTTATTTGCCTCAGACGAGTCCGGAACTGTTTGGGTGCCTAACGCATAAGCTTTTGCTGGCCCACTAGTTCGGTTCCCTCTTTCATTTGCTTGTTTTGTTTTATCTCCCTCCAGTTGCGGAATACTACCTCCGCGTGACTGTTTCCTCGGACAGTTGCTAACTTGGTGCTCACCACTCTCACAAATCAAGCACTTCCGCCCCTTCCGCCAACAATCGTTCTCGGTATGATTGGCCTTTCCGCAATAACCACAAGTCAAGTAGGAAGCCCACTTTCGGCTTTCTGGAGAAGTCTCCCCATATCCGGTTTGGCTTCTTTTGGCAGACCTTTCATTTCCCGCCCCTACTGTCCATGGCGGATAGGACAAAAAGTTCACTTTCTGCATTTTAGAAGGTGCTATTGATTCACTAGGAGGTTCTTCAATCACACTACCAACTGCACCTATTTTCTGAGTTTGGGAGGCTTTTACTTGTGCCTTTGCATTCTCAATTCGTTAAGCCTTCTCAAGGGCCTCCGTAAAAGTATTCACTTGCGCCGCGGCTAACGCCTCTTGGATGTCCAAATTCAGTCCCTGTATAAACCGTCGTACTCTTCGCCGTTCAGTGGCTACCAGTTCAGAAGCAAACTTGGATAATCTTATAAATTTTGTTTCATATTCGGCCACACTTAACGTTCCCTGGCGTAACCCAATAAACTCCTCCTCCCTCCTTTCTTGGACTAAAGGTGGGAGGTACTTCTCGTTAAATTCTCTTATGAAGTTCGCCCATGTCCAGATGGTCTGTTCTCTTTCCCACTTTGCTCTAATTACGTTTCACCATGATCGGGCCGGTCGCTCAAATTGAAATACTGCAAAGTTCACTTGCCTCTGTTCAGTGTAGTTTAGGGCTGTGAAGATATTAACCATGGTTTCTATCCATTGTTCAGCCACGTCCGAATCGGGCCCTCTAAGGAATTTTGGCGGAACAAATTTTTGGAACCTTTCAAGTGCCTTATCCTCGCCCATCTCAGGGTTCCGATTTTGGTTTACGGGTATTTGGCCTTGTTGATCCACCAGTCTTGCCAAGATATCTGTCATTTATTGCATTGCCGTTGCCATTTGGTCTCCAGTCACAGCTCTTGATCCCTGCCCTTGCTCGGCTAACGTTTCCCTTTCTCCTCTTGATTCCGGGGTCCGCTCAGTTCCCCAGCCTCGACCACGTCCACGACTACGTCTCCCGTCCATAGATATGTTTTTCGCTTTCTCTTTTCTTTTCTTTCCCCCAAAAGGTATTTTAGTAAATAAACACAGTAAATTAACTAAGCATCAATTCCAGCATACCAAATACACAAGTAAACATATACGCACATAACACGCCATATCAAGGAGGCAGATAATCAAATACACAAATACATATCACAAATACATATCAAGTTATGGTTCTTATTATATGAATGAGTAAAGGCTTAAGTACTCTTTTAGAGCGTAAGCTGTGAATCGTGAATGTGATAGGTATAAATCCTTTATCTTGATACTTGGGGAAGATTAGATATGTATGCTGGGTAGGAATCTCAAATGTGGTGATTTACTCTTGGGACTGGCCAGCTCGAGATGTAAATTATCTTATTTCGGATTCTTGTACCCGAGTACTTAAGAGTTGAGGGCAATGTTAAGGACTTGAGATCTCCATTTGCAGGAAAAAGAACGAATCAATATTTCACGTGAATAGTTACAGAAAAACAAATAGTTGTTTGGCTAAGGTGGCACAATAATTGAAAGAGAGAGGTAGAGAAAGATTGATGGATGGTCCTATGTAACTTAATAGGATCCTAGTGCTTGATATGAGTCGGAAATGAACGAGAAGATCAGACCTACCAGTGTTATAAATGATTGACTTAGTTAGGGTGATACCAGTGCCAATGCCGTTGTATTTTGTTTGACTGTGTGGCCTACTTTTGAGGCACTCGACTTTGCTTTGGTCGTGCATGACTAAAAGTATTTTTGTAACACCTGTATGCTATATTTTTGTAATACCCCCTGACTTGCTAACTGTATAAACTTTAAAGTGTAAATACATGTTAATTATTGTTATCTCTGATGTTTTCAAGATCGGCTCTTGTTTTAAGAAATTCCTCGCGTAATTACTTTTATTTCTTGCATTAGGCACCACTAGAATTATGGATGAACGAAGGAGTGGGCGAGGGTCTAGGCAAGCCCAACCTCAAGGGGATGAACAAGGATCGGCAACTGGACCGACTCGAGGACAAGAGAATATAGAGGTTAACCAAATGGCTACTGCCATTAATAGGATGACTGATATTCTTGAACGATTAGCTGAGAGACAGGGTCCAGGGCCACTTAACCAACCCGGAGCCCAGGATAGAGGGGAAGATAGAGCCTTGGAGAGGTTTCTGAAATTTAATCTGCCTAAGTTTATTGGAGGACCTGACCCCGAATTAGCGGAGAATTGGTTAGAAAGAATGACCAATATTTTCGCCGTTCTAAATTATGCGGAGGAGAGGCGAGTGACTTTTGCTGTCTTTCAGTTTGAGGGTGCAGCACGCGCTTGGTGGGATATGATAAGGGGAAAATGGGAAAGAGCACAAACCCCTTGGACTTGGGAAAATCTTTTAAGAGAGTTTAATGAGAAGTTTTTTCCGCCCTTGATTCAAGAAAAACGGGAGAATGAATTCATAAAAGTAAAGCGGGGGGCATCTAGCGTGGCTGAGTATGAAGGAAAATTTACTAAATTTTCTAAGTACGCCCTAGAATTGGTAGCCACTGAGAGGAGAAGGATAAGGCGATTTGTACAGGGACTTAACGTGGAGATTCAAGAGGGGTTAGCAGCAGCCCAAATCTCTACTTTCCCCGAAGCCCTAGAGAAGGCACAGAGAGTCGAAAGTGCAAGAGTACAAGTTAAGCATTTTCATGCCAAAAAAAGGGGCACTCCTAGTCATCCTCTTGGACAAGTAGATAAGGGTGCCGCACCTTCTAAAAAGGAAAAAGGAACGGGAGGAGTAGAGACATCTAGTACATCAAAAAGGACTCAATCAAGAGGAGGCCACAATAGACGAGGTCAACAAAGGGAGACACCTCTAAGTGGTCAGGCTGTGGCTCCTCAAGTTATTTGTGGTTATTGTCGTAAACCTAACCATACAGAGAATGAGTGCTGGAAGAAATCAGGAAAGTGTTTGTATTGTTGTAGCATTAAACATCAGATCGCGAACTGTCCGAGTATACCAAAGAAAGGAGGTAGTGCTCAACGTCCAGACAAGTCGGTATCTAAACAATCTAATGGTGGAGGAAGTCGATCAAAAGCGCCAGCTAGGATTTATGCATTAGATTATCATCAGGTTTCCGATCCCGCTAAGGTGATTGAAGGTACGATTCTTGCTTTCTTTTGTTTAGTTAAAATTCTAAATGACCATAGTACGACACACCCTTTTTCAAAACCCTAGATTCATGAGATAAAATCAAGGTTTGACTGCTAATTGGGTGAATAGAAATTGTGAGATATGGGTTGCAGAGTGTAAATTATTGGTTGATCTGACAAGCATGACTATTAAGGGATATGACTATTATCCCAAGTGTGAATTTCGAGGACGAAATTCTTTTTAAGGAGGGGAGGATGTAAGGACCCGAAAATTTTCATATTTTTGTCAAATATTACTGGTTTATTTAAATAGTTATTCACTCATTTTCTCTGAATTATTTAATTCGACTATTTAAAATCCATTTATATGGAAAAACGCCTCTCTTAAGTTTTTAAAGCTTTTTGTTAGAAAATTTACTTTCTAAAACTCGTTTAGTTTGGAACAACGAGCACACGTTTTTCGAGACTATATTTGAATTGAGAGTGTATTAATTTTGAAAAAGTAAGAATGATCAATAGTAGATTAAGAAAAGTTAATTGGAGATTTGAGGAATTAAAACTCGACTCATGTGAAGACTCGCAAAATTTATTTATTTTAAAGTTCTGTTACGAGCTTATTTAAAAATTTAAATGCCCGTTTACTCCGAATATTATTTTCTAATCTTTTTAGACCTAATTACATGGATCTATAGCTTAATTATATTTTTAAAGTGACTCATTTCAAAATTTAATTTTTGGAAACACGTTGGAGACAATAACCGATCTGAGAGTATAATGAGCTTGAAAAATTGGAGACTTGTACATTAGTCTTGAAAATGGGTATTTTTATGTTTAAATAATCAAGTGATAGTTAGTAGTACTATCATTATAAGAAATTCTTGGAGGTTTCACTATATCGCGCTTAAATTGGAAATACGCGTTTTCACACGCGCGACCTAATTGAGGGACTTTAGACCCTTATTTTGGGACAATTAAGGGTAAATAATATTAATATGAATATAAGTGCATTAGAGGTTTAGTGTACTAGTGAACCAAACGCAAGAAGAATCGAGCACAAAACGCGCGTGTGCGCGAGCGAGGAGAGAGTTGACTTTTGCTTCATTTTGGGCCACACATTAAAGCTTCTCAAGGAAGCTTCATTTTTGATCAAACACTCTCTCTCTCCTCACTAAGATAGCCGGCCATCAAGCTTGAAAAACAACTCAAGAGCTCTTCAAATTTCTTCATCAAATCTTCATCAAACTTTCTCCACTTCACCTCAAATTTCACCTACACTTAGTTAATCACTTGGAGACTACATCAAGCTAAGAAAGAGAGCTACTTTCCACGGTTTTCTTGAGCATCTTTGTACCAAAAATTCTGCTTGAATTCACCAACAAGAGTAAGTGATGATCCACCTTGAAAAACTTGATTTATGGAAGTAGTAGTGAACTTATGAGCTTGCAAATCCATGTGGGTAACTTTATTTCTGTGAAAAAATTGTTGTGTGGGCTCTATGAACTCCCACTTTGGTTGGATGGACTGATTTGATGAGCCATGATGTTTTAAATGTTGGTTTAGTGGTTAAATTAGTGGAATAATGTTGTATTGTTGGTAGAAACTCAAAGGAGGTGAAGAGGGAAATTCTTTCGATTTTACCCCTGTGAATTTTGTGCACTTTGGTGCAAGATTTTGAGGTTCTAATGACTTTTTTATGATGTATACATGTTATATGGATTGTGTAGAAATTTTCATTGAAAAATAACGTGATTTGGTTGAGCAAATGTAGTGATTTCAAAAGTTTAGTAAAACCGGAAACTGTTCCCGGATTACCCAGGCAGTGTTTTTATTTCGGCCATAACATTTTGTTCCGATGTCGAAATCGAGTGCCATTTGTGGCACTGGAAACGAGACATTTGTATCTTTCCAATGGTATAAAATTCATATTCTGATTCCACCTGAGTGAACCACACAAACCGTTTGAACTTGGCTGCTCTGTTTCGTTGGTTCACTGGAAGGCAGAACATGAACTGCAACTTGATGCTCAAATGTGAGCTAGTTGTGGACATATTATTGTAATGATTTCTTCTGAGACATTGTAGGTTTATGAATGTGTTTTCCAACGCCACCAATCATGCTCAATTCCAATTTGAATTGAGTGAGTTGAGGCCAAAGTTTGAAACTGACTCAGTGATGGAATTCTTCATTTTGGACTGATCCTTAACTAATCTTGGTTTGGGGCTTGTTATTTGAAATTCTTGGTGTAAATCACCTACCAAATGTATCTTCAACCCTTAATAGACCTAATTATCATAAATGAGACATGTTTTGGCATTTTCCCTTGGTCAAAAGTTTAGAAAAGGAAATTTTCATACACAAGGCAGCTTTGCCTTAAAAATTTAGAAAATTGAGTAATTTCGTTAACTAACTTCGCATGCTTATTTATCCATGAAATTTGGTATAGGAGTAACCATTATATGGTATTATAATCATACCAAATTTTGTGTCATTCCGAGTCCGTTTCACTGCCCAACTAAACTTCCAAAGTTCATGATTGAGTTTGGAATACCCTTGTTTAACAAGGAAATTTTAGTAATTTTGAGCTACCATATCTTGGTGCTCAACACTCCGATTCTTGTTACGCTTGTTTTGTTTCAAATCGGGGTTGTAACTCTAATAGATTTCCAAATTTTAGAGGTTAGTTCAAATCAAGTGAATTTTGCCGAATTTTCAAAGTTTACCAAAAACCAACCTAAACCTGTCTTAAGTGCCCCAAAACAGCAACTTTGAGCCAATTTTTGAATACCTTCCGTTTGGAATCATGGAAAGTGTATTCTAGGAACTTTTAGTACTTTACAAGAGGTTTCCAACGGTACCAAGTTTTCCATTTTTGGAATCACAGAGAGTGAGATACAATTTTTCAAAGATAGCCCCTTAAAACTGAAATTCTGGAACCTGATGAGAAACGAGTTTTTGGAAACTTTTCTCAACCCTTTGATAATGATTAATCGTTTAGAACTCGAGTTTGTGAAGAAAATTAGTTTTCTTGTGTTAATTAAATCCTCACTTTTGAACCTGTATTTTGAGTGGTTAAGGTTCATATTTGAGGTATTAACTAGTCAAATCAAGTGTGCTTTCTTTCTTGATAATACGTGATTGTGAGTAAGAAATATTTGTTAATTGCCCAGGCGCTCAAGGAGATTTCGAAGGCAATCTCGGTGCGGACACCTAAAGTTTTGCTTGCTCACTTATTTTGAATCGGTGAGTGTCAAGTGCATGACTTGATGTGTTTACTTGATTTATCCTGCTTATATACTTGAATATCACTTGATGAGACGAGTGTGTACTTTATCGCACTCGATCTACTTTATTCGAACTTTATTTGCATTAAACTTGGTTTCAAATTCGATTTGAGTGAATCTCGTCGACTAAAATATACTCGTTTTCGTGTACATGTCGTGTTGTAGTGCATGTCGTGCGTGTCGTGTTGTCGGGTGGAGTGAACCTCCTCGACTTATGGGGACGCCCAATTCTCTTTGGCTAATCTTACGACTCGAGCCGGCATGGGCTTGATCGAGAAGCTTGATGAACTAAGAGAATAACAAAACAAAACTTGATCTTTTGAGATCTTGTTCGGCATACTCGGCGAGTATCGCCCTTTTCGTGCTTGTTTGGTTACGGATCCGAGAGGGTGGAATGTTGGCTGGAGGTTGTAAGTGGAGCTTCTACGGATTTCAAAACCTACCCGATTGACAGAGTGTCAACTCGTGGAGGTCGTGGATCGAGCATTGACAAAGCATGTGGAAATTAGCTCCTGAGAGCTCCTGTATCCTACCCAAGTGTGCTTAAATTTGTTAACATGAATTACTTGACTTTATCGCTTTATTTATGGTATAAATGTTATTCATACTTGAACTACGTGCTTGCATGACTTTCTTGGCCTCACTGAGTATTGGCTCATCCCATTAGTTTGTTTTCCTTAACAAGAACCGGAATGGAAGAAGTTAAGAAATGCCGACCTGTGGCACTTTTGTATTAGTGTCTTGACTTAATCGACTAGACACTTTTGGATGTTGTATATTTTTGGGGAAAGTGATTGTATCTCGAATTTGTGATGTAAGACTGAATATTTCTGTATGGAAATGACTTTGTACCTTTATTCCGACTTTCATTATTGGAATTAGACTTTAAGTTTGAATTGGAATTGTCTCGAGTCCTGGCGAGAGTTGGGCAGGCGTCCCGCGGATACCCTTGGGTTCGCCCTTGGGAGAAGTGGGGGCGTCACACTATATACCCATGGTTCGTTATCTATTCGTCCAAGCCCTGCCGGCCCGAATCGATTAACTAGCCAGTGGGGTTTGGGTCCCCAAGAAATCGATGAGATAACATCTCCAATCGACTGAATCAAGATAAAAGTACGGAGACGGGAATAAGAGGCACCTCCCACTCGAATTGAGTGTGGTACATGCTGCCGCTCAGCACTTACAAGTTAAGCACAAGTATATCAAGTCAATTGCAACAATAAACAAGTATATGTCACATTCACATTAGGGCAAGTATGATAAAGTACACCCTTGTCTGACCAAACCAATCCAATATCAAGTATTTATCTCAAGTATCATGTTGAATCTTGTACTTGGAAGCACTCACCAAAGATTTAGTGCTTGTCAAAATCACGTTCAGGTATAACTCCTTGGTTGGAGTCCAAATCTGCGATACAATATCATTTAAATGTTTGAAATCAACTAGGGTTCGAAACTTAAGAGTTTCGCTTCAAAAGATCAGGTAAATGAAACTCATTTAGATAGGGTTCATGTTACGTATCAAACTCTAGAAAATTTATGCTCGCTCGTTTAGTGTTGCTAAAGAAGCAACTAAAACTTTGGAACTCACATTTGAGTCTAAAAAATGAGAAAAGCATATTTTGAGTGGTCACTACTTTCATTTTTCCAAGGGCACGAGTTTTGGCCAAATTTCAGCTTATATACCTCTACGAAAGAAGACTCAAATACCCCTAGACAATTCAAGTTCAATTCGTCCTCAAACCTTCGCTCAAGTCGCGAGTACACCCGCCTAACCTTCGATTGAAAATTTGGGCAGCATGCCCTTTGTATTTAGCTATTTTTCAGTCATTTATGACTTCATTATTTTTTTCAACTCAGCCCAAATTCACACATGAACAATCTTAACACAATAGCCCTTCAATAGTCTCTATGTCATCCCAATACAAGGAAATTCTAGCAATGCAACCGGAAACTAATTTTAAAGACAAATATTGAAACAGCAGGTTTGATGTCTCTTGGCGTTTCGGTTACAACTGAAGCTACGCTTATCGGATTAGGGTACACTTTATGCCATTTCGAAGCCAAGATAGATAAATACATTTCCTATGAAGACATCAACACCCAATTCATTCATTTTCAAGGTCAAAATGTGCAATCTCAGAGAAAACAAAAAATTGCCCGCGAAACAGTGCATTTGGCAGTCAGGGGTAATTTTGTCATTTCATTCTATACAGTACTCCGATTGAGCTGAAATTTTACAGGAAGCTATATAACTCTATTCCCTAAAACTTTCATGTTTTGACCTAGACCTTATTTGTCCTCTAACATGGAAAAATCATACAGGTCAGAAACAGGGCAGATTCCACTATCAATGCTGGAAATTTCTCTACAAAAGCTGGAAATTTCAACCAAAGCTGGAAAACCATATACCAATGCTTAAAAGTTCACATCAAAGTTAAACCAACTCATATCAAAACTATCAAGTTCATCTCATGGCTGGAAAATGCATATCAAGGCTGGAAATTACATGCTACCCTAGCCAAAACCATAAAATCTTTCATAACCATGCTTCTTTTAGCTTCAATCATAACTTATCTTGAATGAATCTCAAGAGTCAAATAAAAGAGATGTTTCTAGAAACTTACCTCATACCCCAAGCAAACAAGAGTTTTATTCCTCCAAAACCTCCACCAAGGTCTTCTCTCCAAGCTTAACTTAAGATTAATCGGTATGGATTTGGGTTAGTGTTTGGATTTTCCACAAATCAAGCAAGGAAATCAAGATGAAATTTTTCTCTCTTCCTCTCCTCTCTTAAGATTAACATTCCTAGGCCGCATGCACCCCCACTCCTCCTCCATGAGATGCTCCCCATCGCATACAGGGACTTCTGCTCCATGCGACGCTTCTCCTTGTAGTGGCTGAGTATCATCCTTGACAGCATCTTGCGCGAGTGGCCTGCGCTCCATCACCACACAGTCATCCCCACTGGTATCAACCACATGAGTTCTGTCAGTTGCTGTAACTTGATGCTGTGTCATTCTCACCGCAGGCCTAGACTGGCCTCGAGTGCTAGGAGCTCCCTGCTCCTCCGTATCCCTCGTGCACTCCTCAACAGACTGTCCCAGGCGCAAGCATGTAGAGCAATATTTTGGCAGATCATCTATAGCAATTTTTTGCCAAAACCCAGGCTCCCCTTCAACTGCCACCCACACCCGGGAGCAGGGTAGTTTCAAGAGATCAATTTCAACACACGCTCTGGCCACATTCGGACGAGTCCCTGCTGCCGTAGCCGTGTCGACAAAGAGAGGCCTTCCCACTGGAGCTAAGATGGAGAACAATGAATGTTTATCATGAAAGTGAATTGGCAACATTGGCAAGGACACGCACACTAGCGCCAGTGATGATTCTCTGTGGACAAGAAAATCTCTGGTCGAACGGAAAACCCACATCGAATACCTCCCCAGATGCCAGATACCACGCGTCCATATCTGATTGAAGTCTTCCTCAGCCGTGCACTTGATGAGAACATGCTGGTAGTCCAACAATCCTACCAAAACATGGTTCCGCAGGTTAAGTGTAGCGAAAAACTTCCTGATGTCCTCCAGCACCGGTCTGCCATAGGAAAATTTTCCAATCAGAGCTAGGCGAAAAGGTGCTGCAAGTTTCTCGACATCTTCCTTCGTGAAGATGACAGCCGCCTCCCCCTTGTACGACAATATCGGCCGCAACCAAATGGGGATGTTGTAGAGCTGGAAAATAATTGGGAGAAAGACTTTGCCTTTGTAAGGGAAGTCTTGTGTCCCTCCACCAACAGCTGGAGGGCAGC